GGCCCATAGACTTGAGGTTGCCCTCTGATGGAGTAGGGCTGGGTCAGCTAGGTGGTAGAGGTGACATTCTCTTTAAGTGACTGTTAGTGCTATGGCACCAGAGACTTCTCAAAAGAGATGCTGCTCATTGCATTGAATCAGAATCCTGGCAAACATTCACCAACCAATGTTCACATGTACGTCATCACCTAGGAAGGACTGGATTTGGCTTTGGAAGAAGAGTCCTTAGCTCATTTGTAGGAGGGAAGAGAGTGGATACACCCTCCCTTCTTGGGCTTGTCTACACTATTCACTTTAGCACCTGGCAAGGCAACAAGCATCTATTAAGCACTTACTATGTGCCAGGCATTGTGCTAAGTGCTGGGCATACAAATAAAAGCAGAAAGACAGTCCCTGCCCTAAAGGAGCTTACATTCTAATGGGGGAGACAACATACAAAAGAGGCCTAGGGAGTGGGGGAGGGAGAAAGTACCCTTGGGGGGATGGTGGCAAAGCCTTAAAAGTTGGGAAGGGAATGAAGCAAGGACATCTGGGCCTGCCCTCAAAATGGAGGCCCTGGGTGGAACTCACCACATTAAGAAGGGGAAGGGAGAGACTGAGGGATATTACAAGGCGGGAAAGTCCCAGGCACTTAGTGGGGTTCTAGGGTCAAAGGGCAGCTGAGGCATGGTGGCAATATTCTGGAGGCCACATGCAAAGCCAGGAGAGCTGTGAAGCATGGATCACCCAGGCCCATCTTTAAAATGGAGGCACTGGATGGACCTCACCAAGGGAAGAAGGGAGTTAGAAAGGTGGAGGCAGGCTCCAGGTTCTTTATGTGTGGACAGTAAGGATAGTTCATCTCCCCAATTAAACTTGAATGTACTGGAAAAAAAAGGACCACGCGCTACACTTTTTGTGTTTCACGCTCATTCCAGATAGTATAGTACCATCCCTGAAGGTCCTCATTTTGGATAATGATAATTAACATTTATATATGCACAGACAGGTGGTGCAGTGGCTAGAGCACCAGTCCTGGAGTTAGGAAAACTCATCTTCCTGAGTTCAAATTCAGCCTCAGACACTTACTAGCTGTGTGATCCTGGGCTAGTCACTTAACCCTATTTGCCTCAGTTTCCTTATCTGTAAAATGAGTTGGAGAAGGAAATGGCAAATCACTCTAGTATCTCTGCCCAGAAAACCCCAAATAGGACCATGAAGAGTCAGACACAACTGAAATGACTTTGTATAGAATTTTAAAGTATATAATAAAGTGTATATTAAATATGTATATATATATATAAAGTGTATATTGTATCTATTACCTTGTTTGAGCCTCACAACAATCTTATGAAGTAGATACTATAGGGATTATACCTATTATACAGATAAGGAAAATTTGAACCCAGGTCTCTTAAGGTCCCAAGTTCCTCATTCTCTCCATTATTCTGCCTCTCAGTAAATAAATTATTGAATATATTTTAGTCACTGTTTCTTTAAGGAAGATCCCCTTCTGTACCCTCAAAGGGCTGTTCTCTGCCTCCTGAAGTCTGCTGATTAATTAGACATCTAGGTGCATAGTGAATAGAGTGCTGGGCTTGGAGAGAGAAAGACTTGAGTTCAAAATCACTTCAAACACTTACTAGCTGTGTGACCCAAGGCAAGTCACTTAACTTTTCTGCCTCTGTGTCTTCAACTGTAAAATAGGGATAATAACAGTACCTACCTTGCAGGGTTATAGCGAGGATCAAATGAGATAATATTTGTAAAGCACTTAATGTGGCACTCTATAAATGCTTATCCCTCTTCCCAGCTCACTGGTCCCAACCCGAATGCTTTTCTCTGGTGGAGAACAAGGCAAGAATTGCTGTAAGCTTATACATATCAGCAGTGGCCTTCTGCCTTCGGCCAGCTTCCTTATCTCCCCACGTGCCCACCAAATGCTAAGTCACTCTTCAGATCAATTCAACGGATGCTTATTACATGCCAACTAAATACAAGCACAGGGGATACAAAAGCCTGGAAGTCTGTTGAACTGAGGTTGGAATTCTCACATCCCCTACTTAAAAGCTACATGACTGTGGGCAAGTCATCTAATCTCTCTGAGCCTCAGTTTTCCTTATCTTTAAAATGGGGGATGATCACATCTGTATTATGTAGGCCACAGGGTTGCTGCGATGATCAAGAGAAATAATGGATATAGGATGCCTTGCAAACTTCAAAGCGATATGCAAACATTTACTATCATCACGTGCAATCTTGACCACAATTGTGTAAGAAACATGATATAGGTATTATCTTTTTATTTCACAGAAAAGGAAACTAAGGCCTAGTGAGTAGTGGTGAGTTGCCTGAAGTCACAGGCAACTGCTTTTTGTACTTTGTATAATCAGTCAGTATCCTGGTCTTCTGATTTTGCTTTCTTTCCTTTGCATTAGTTCATATAACTGCTTCCATATGTCTATCTTCCTTATATCTGTCATTCATAGTTAAATTGGAGTATTACATTGCATTTTTAAGGGTAGTTTTGATTGAGAAAATCAGTGAAATCATCCTTCCCCATTTGAAGTGATAAAGTGCCCTGATACATTAAGGATTTGAGAGCAAACCTTAACCAATCAATTATAGGCTTTAAGCTCAGTGGGAAAAGTCTTTGAATGAAATGGAGGGGAATTGAGTGGGAATGAGTTTGGATGTGCTGAAGAAATGTGGTCATGCCCTAGAAATCATCTACAAAATGCTCTGCAGAGATAGTTGAGAATCAGAGTAATTCCAGAGATGAGAGCAGAAGCAGTTCCAGGAAAATCTCTGAGGAGGAAGAAGCTTTAGCTTTGACCTCAGCCTAAATCTCCTTCCCCAGCCTCTCTTTGGCTCAAGGAAGACCTCAGAAGGTGTGGAGTATTGGGATTTCCCATCAGTATCCTAGCCTCATTCACTAATAGAGTATCAGCAGGATATAGTTCAGGAAAGCAGATTCACCATGGCCCCACGAAGATCCAGCAAAGAAGTTAAACTATGCCTGGGGGAATTTCTTGAGCACTATATGAAGGGGAGAAAAAGGACTTATGTCCTTAAGTCCATCTTTCCCTGGATTCTGTATGTACTGGTGGAAGAGTGTGTCATAGACTTGGGGGTGTGTGTGTATGATGTTTTGTACCAACTCTTCTCACTATATCACCTTAGTAAATAACCCCTTTTTAAAAGCAACTAAATTGATCATCAAATGACAGTTGTGTTGGGAAGCACACTGGTGGGGGCTCATGAGCTGTAGCACTAGAAAAGGCCCCTCCCAATCCCTCAAGGGTACCCCTAGAGACCAGAAGGGACATAATAGCCACCAATCCAGCCCATCAGTGTGAGTGTGACTTGGAGAAGTAGCTCCAGGGCATATGTTACACATTGATATAGACAAGTTTCTGAGGTTTCTTGCAGCTCTGAAATTATATATTTTTCTTCTTAGTTATTATAACTTTTGTTTTTACATCACCTTCATTTCTCATATAACTCTCCACCCTCCCCTCCACAGAATTGTCCCTTGTAACAAAGGATAAAAAAAGGAGGGGAACAGCTAATTAGGAAAACTCATCAACTAAGTCTGGTAGCATACCTAATATTCTACACCATTAATCACCTTGGAAAGAAGAGGAGATACGTTTTTTCCTCTCTTCAGGACTAAATTTGATTATAATTACACAGTGTTCAACAACTTTCCATATTTGTTTATTCATTTAAAAAAAATTCTATTATAGTGTCAGTCTGGCTCCAATCTCTCACAACACTTTTTTTGTCTATTCTAAATTCCTGCCAACTGGATTGTTGTCCATTTCTCATTCTCATCCTGTCCTCTCTCATTCTGTGTCTTTGCTCCCACTGTCCTGATGTCCCCCAAATGTCTCCTCCCCCCTCTCCATTTCTGTGAGTCCTTCATGTCCTTCACAGTCCAGCCCCGGCACCACTTAATCCAGGAAGCCTTACCCAACTGAGGGCAGGCACCATTTCCTTTTTGTATCTCCAACATTCTCCACAATACCTGGCATATAGTCAATGCTGAATAAATGCTTGTTAAGCATATGTCTTTTCTTTTTCATTTCAATCAACAAATACTTATTAAGCACCTATATGTGCCAGGTGCTAGGGATACAAGACAAAGAATAAAACAATATGTTCTCAAAATGAGCTTATACTCTCATGAGTGAGGCATGAGAAATATGCAAATAAGTTTATACGCAATATATACAAATAAATTTGATATTAATCATAATATAACAAAATAGATTAATTAATAATGTAAAAATAAATGTATAGATATCTGTATATACATGTGTATACATACATTAAATATGTATATATACATATATATACCTACACTTATAAACTTTCATATGTATAAACACATATGTATCTGTATATACAAACACAGACAGATAGAAAGATAGATAAATAGACAGATAGATGGATGGATAGTTAGACAGATGGATGGATGGAAGGATGGAGGGGTGGATGGATGAATGGATAGATGGATGGATGGATAGATGGATAGATAGATGGAGAGATGAATAGATGGATGGATAAATGGATGGATGGGTGGATACATAGATCAATAGATTCTATTGGAAGCTCCTTGAGGCCAGGGGCCATGTTTTTACCTTTCTTTTTATCTCTAACACTTAGCACAGTGCCTGGCACATAGTAAGCACCTAACAAATGCTTGTTGAGTTGCTGACTGTATCTGAAGTAGTTGCCTCCCAGGACAAGCCCTGATAACAATGACCAGAGGTTTTAATAAGACTTCAGGGTTGGGTAGACACTTCACATGCACGCTCACAACAAGCCTCTGAAGTAGGTACTTGCCTGAAACAAGCCTTTCTCTCCTATTACACTGGAGAACAGTGTTGTAAGTCATACCTATCTCTGTGTTCCTTGCACCCAGCCCTGTCCCTTGTACAAAGTGGGCCCTCGGTCAATGTCCGCCATTGATCCTGCCAGCAGGCCTGCCCTGCCAGTTTATCCCCAGACTGTACCTGTAATACTGTAGCTCTAATTCCAGCTGCTGGACGCACATCTGTAGATGCAGTACTTGGGTGGCTTGGGCTTCTAGCTCTCTCACTTTCCCCAGGCCGCTCAGCACTGCCTGCCTGGCCTCCTCCACTTTCTTCCTCATTTCTGCCTGCTCCTTCTTGAGGTGGCGGTTGCAGTCCTCAGAGGCCACCAGGGCCTCCTGGCACTGCCTCAACTCCTTGGCCAATTCCTGATTCACTTGAATTGCCTCTTCGATCTGACCGTCCCTGGAGCTCCGGATCAGCTCCACTTCCTTTAGCATGCTCTGTAGGTCTTTGGTGGGCTGGGGGGTCCCATGGCCTGATAGCATCCTGGGCCCAGGAAAGCAGCTGCCATCTTGCTTGTGACTGGCGTGGCTCTTCCAGAGTCCCACCTGCCAGGGGCGAGATAGGAAGACAAAAAAGCTTCTGTTTCATGTTGGAGTTTTAACACTTTCTCTCACCCTTCTACTCCATTTTCAGCCAGTGGTATTTACAGCCTCTCACTTCATAAAATTTAACATCCATCTAGCACTTTCCAATGGACAATGTCTCTTTATATATATTATTCCATTTGATCCTTCCAACAACCCTATGAGATTCATCTTGTCCAAACATCTCATTTTACAAATGAGGTTAAGTGACTTGCCCAAAGGTAATGGCAGAACTGGGATTTGAACCCAGCTCCTCCAAACCCAACACTCTTTCTATTTCCACTACAGTGCGTTGACTTTCCAGGAAGTGGATCATCCTGTGATTTTACAGATGAGGAAATAGAGGCCCAACATGGATCAGTAACTGACCCAAGTTCCTAGAGCAAATAAGTAACGGTGCTAGGACTTTAGACCAGCTTTTCTGACTTCCAGGCCAGTTCTCCTTCCTCGGCTAAGTTCCTGGTCAGTTGGCTAAGTGCTCTGTCCAGGTGCTAGGGCATCTGCTTGATTCAGAACAAACACACAGATTGACTTCTTGGATAGCTGCTTTGACTGAACCTGAGAGAAGTGACTGAACCATCAGATGAAGGCATTTTGTCCACAAGAAGTGAAGATAGCAAGAGAACTGACCATTTTTGTTGTTGTTACAACACACAGCACAAAAACATGCCTTATCGAATAGCTTTTCTTTTTTTCTCTTTGCATTTTTTTTTTTTTTTAGGCAATTGGGGTTAAGTGACTTGCCCAGGGTCACACAGCTAGTACGTGTCAAGTGTTTGGTTTGAGGCCGGATTTGAACTCAGGTCCTCCTGACTTCAGGGCCGGTGCTCTACCCACTGCACCACCTAGCTGCCCCTCAAATAGTTCTTTATGGCAAATTCAGTTTGGCTGAGGAGACAGAGACCCTGGGGCACTATAGAGCCTCTCTATTGTAGAGACTGGGAGAGGAGGGGGAGCGTGGGTCTGGGATGTAGTTTACCTGAGGTAGGATAGCTAGGGGAGAAAGTGTTTTATTTGGTCGTTTCCTATTTTAACTAATTATTCTTACTAACAAAGTACAAAACTCAGTTATTTCCACCTTGACTGCAAGCATAAACTGCAACACAATCCCATTGTCCTGGGACAAAGCTTGGTCACCTTGCTTAGTTAAGGTAGTATCTCTTCATTCTCTGAAGGGATATATTGTTGCACTCAAAAGACTGCATAAGAACTAAATTCATTTTCTTCTTTCTTGGAAACAAGCTTTCATGCCACCTCCTAGCATCTCTTCAATATGCTGAGTATACACCAGCTGTCCCCTTCATCTCCCCTGAACTGCACCTGCACGCTCGATCTCTGTTTCTTTGGCTCTGATTGGTGAACTTTTGGCTTGTCTTCTTGCCTGGAGCCAGCCTCCACACCACTTCCCAGTCATCTCTATTTTAGGTATAGTATATGGGTATAGGTATACTTTTGTACCTTCCCTCCCTTCAAACTTCCCTTTATTGTGTTTTCTTCCTCCATTAGAATGTAAGCCCTTTGAGGGCAGAGATTGTCTTACTTGCATGTATTTGTACCCCCAACACTTCCTGGAACATAGTAAGTACTTAATAACTGTTTTATGTGCCTTCCTTCCTTCCCTCTTTCCTTCCTTCCTTCCCTCCTTCCTTCTTTCCTTTCTTTCTTCTTTCTTTCCTTCCTTTTTCCTTCTTATCTTTCTCTTTCACCCTAGTTTGTGACCTCACTTTCCTTTGGGCCCAAAAGATGTTTGGTCCCATCCTTAAGGTCGGGGTCTATTTCTCAGACCTCAACCTTCCTGACCTCTACACCTTGGACACTCTTTCCTCCCTCTGCATTTGTGACACTGTTCTCCTCTGGCTCTCCTCCTACCTCTCTGACTATTTCTGACTCTCCTTTGCTAGATACTTATCTATGTCCTATTCCTTAGCTGTGGGTATCCTCTAAGACTGTCCAGGGACACCTTGTCTTCTCCCTCTATACTTCCTCTTTCTTGGCCTTTTCATCAACTCTGAGAGGTTCCATTATAATCTCTGTGCAGATGACCTTGAAATCTATATATACTTGCTCTCCTAGTTCTGACCCTCATCATCTCTTACTTGGATTACTGTAAGGAGTAAGTAGGAGGCACAGCCTTCTCCTGAGAGAGGAAGTAGAGAGGGTGATGGAGGGAACTCAAGGAGAGAAGAGGAGGCTTGGGACTGAGTCTGGAATGGTGGCTTCTGAGCAGGTCACCCTGCTTCCAGGGAGTTGGTCTCCCTTCTCCACACAGGAGGCAAAATAATCTTCCTACCACACAGGTCTGGTTATGTCACTCCTCTAATAAAACATTTCCAGTGGTGGCTTCCTATTGCCTTCAGAATAAAATACAAACTCCTTGCCCTGGTATTTAAAGTATTCACAATCAGGCTCTGTTTAGTTGTGTTCAACTCTGTGACCCCATTTGAGGTTTTCTTGGCAGAGATACTGGAGTGGTTTGCCATTTCCTTCTCCAGCTCATTTTACAGATGAGGAAACTGAAGCAAACAGTGACTTGCCCAGGGTCACACAGCTAGTAAGTTTCTCAGACCAGATTTCAACTCAAGAAGGAGTCTTCCTGGCTCTAGTCACAGGTTCTCTGTGCACTATGGTGCCACCTAGCTGCCCATAGGCTCTAGCCCTACCTTCTAGATTTATTTCATACTACTCACGTTCATGCACCATGTTTCAGTCAAACTTCCCTACCTGGTATTCTCTGGAACTCAGAATTCCATCTTCTACCTCCCATCTCAGTTCCTTTGCACGGGCCACCCTCTAGGATTAGAATGGACTTTCTCCAAGACTCAGCTCTGGATGCCTTTTCTGAGCCCCCTAGGTGTTAGGGCTCTCTCCTTCCCCCCAAATCTCTTTTCATTGTCATATAATATAACTGCAGGATGTAACCTCCACGAAAGTAGGGGCCGCTCTGTGTTTCCTGCCTTCAGCAACTAGCTCAATGCCATGAACACATCAGGCACTTAGCAAGCATTAATTAAATTATTGAATTCTAGCCAGCCTTTTTGTAGTAATATCCTACCGCTGTCTGATTATGAGATGCCTCTCCCCATTCTGTACCATGAATGAATGAACTAATGGGAAAGCATTTATTAAGTGTTTATTATATGCTGGAGACTATTATAAACATAAAAAAATGGTGTGCTGTATATACTTATTTTTAAAATTAAAAAATAATTCAGAATTATTTTGCTTAGAAATATCATACTCATTCTCACACACCCCCTCCCTTTTCTTGGGCAATCCCCCCCCATCTGAAATACACACACACATATACATATACATACACACACATATATATAAATATATATATACAAACGTACATATACATATATATGTAAATTGGTCACTAAACATTTATTAAGTGCCTACTATGTTTCAGGCACTATGCTAAGGGCTGAGGATAAACAGAAAGGCAAACATCAGTCCTTTCTCTCAGGAAGCTCACCATCTAATGAAGAAGACAACATGCAAACTACATACCTACATGCAGGTACCACATACAAACTACACACATACATGCAGGGTACATAGCTACAAGACATATACAGGATAAACTAAAGGTCATCTCAGAGGGAAGGCACCAAGACTGAGTAGGATTGGGATAGGCTTCTTGCAGAAGGTGGGACTTAAGCTGAGACTTGAAGGAGACCAGGGAAACCAGGAGGAGGAGGAGATGAGGAAAGAGTTTCAGGCATGGGGTTGGGGAGTGGGTGAATGGGGGTGGACAGCCAGTGAAAATGCTTAACTCAAGAAAGTGTTGTGTTCAAGGAAGAGCAAGGAGAGCTGTGTCACTGGATAGCAGAATATGTGTAAGAAAAACAGAAATATCCTCCCCTCTTTTATAGAAATTCTACCCATCTTTCAAAGCATAGGTCAATTTCTTGCCATCTGCCAACCTGATTGAAGCCTTATCACTCCAGCCTTTGCTAATCTCTCCCAGATCTGAACTAAAAAAGAACTCCACAGTAAGTGGCACACATTTTTGCACTTAATTCCTCTCTAATTAGGGAAAGAAAATTAATATCTATGAAACAGGCAGCAACCTCTTTGAGGGCAGGGACCAGATCAGTTGCATATCTTACACTATTTAGCATAATACCTACCAAAAATACTTTTTGATTGACTGATCATCTTGAGACACTTGGACCTGGGTTTAAACTCTAGCCCTGCTGTTTGTTACTTATGTGACCCTTGGGGCCAACCAAGTTACTCCCTCCTCCTTGGAGCCCATCAACTACTTGAAACTAGTTATCTTGTCCCTGCTAAATCCAGAATTGGCCCTAAACTTGAATTATAACCTCTGCTGTCTACTGCCCAGGTAACTTTAGACTAAGTCAACTCGCCTCTCCAGGCTTCAGTTTTCTCATCTACAAAATGAATGAGTGAATAGACTAGACCAGGGGTTCTCATATTTTTGAAATTACTCAAACTCAATTCAACAACAACAATAACAGCAACAAAATGTGTTGTGAGCCCTCAGGGTAATTTAATATACAATTCATTATATTTTTTGTAATAACTTACTACTTAAGGTGAAGTTAAAGAATTCTTAGCTCGGACTCTTTGAACCATTAGGTTCCCAAAAGGTTCAAGGACCGCTAAATGGAAACTACCATATTAGATGACCTTTAAGGATCCCTTCAGCTAGGAAGCCACTCATATTTCTCAGTTCTCTGACCTTTAAGGCCCTATATAGTGCAATTTGGTCAAAGAAGAAATGGCCTGAGGATATCTGGATTCAATTTCCAAACGTGCTGCTTATCAGTCAGCCTAATCTTAGGTAATTCACTTACTCACTCTTAGCCTCAGCTTCCTCATTTGTAAAATGGAGACATTCATGCTAGTACTACCTATCTTGAGGTTGTATTGTAAGGAAAGCATCTTGTAATATTCTCCATAAATATCACCGAAAACCTTTCTTCTGTATAGTAGGGGCAAAAAGCCTGTAGAAGCAGCATAAATGAAGTCAGCATTGAAAGGCAACAAAACTGATGAAGTAACAGTCAATGTTAGTATTGTACTGTCAAAATATGTCCCTTTTTTCTCTGTAAGCAATTAATAAACTGTTTTTGTCTGTGTGCGAATGTACTTTGCAAAGGGGCTTGTTTGGGCGTTTCGTGGGAAGTGTCTGTTGTGTCAAAACAAAATGTATTTATCACTAAATGGCTTTATGAAAAGCTATAGAACTTGGTTCATCTAGTCATTCCTCAAATGTTCACTGATATACCAGGCTAAGTGCCAGGGGAGATAACGATATAGGTTGTATTAAATAGTTCAAATTGCCTGGCACCCCAGCTTCAGCTCTTGAATTAGTGGCAAGGGAAAGAAAAGTTTAATGTTGAGCCTCTGGATAAATGCAGTATCATATAAGTTACTAGCAGGAAGTGGACCCACTGGGGGTGTTTGTCTTAGATCAGATTTCAAACCAATACCAAAAGACATTAAAAATCACAAGTACTTTCTTGAAGACTTCAGTTAAATTTCTGGCACTCAGTTAAAAAAAACACACATAACCCTATGTATTTCTAAGAAATATTTCCCAATTGGATCTAAAAAATGATGTTATTTTACAGTTAGGTGGTTTATTGCTAAGGTATATCATCGCCCAACTCAGAAGTGTGAATAAGTTTAAGAAAAGCCCTGATCCATTTCAATTGTGTTTGAAAAACCAGCCTGTTAACCCCAGCACTAGGGCAAATACTTCCAAATATGCAGCAGACCATTCATGTCCCATTGGAGTCAGCACAATATTTCCTGTTGAATGCTAATCCTACATTAAGGCCTGGGATTCACTCTCACTTCTGGCACAGAGAGCTATGTGACCAGAGCATGCATGTCACTTAACTTATCTGAGCTTCAGTTTCCTCAAGTGTAAAGTGGAGGTAATAATAAATAGTACCTGTAGTATCTGACACAGAGCTATCATAGGACTCCAACGAGAGCACTTTCAAAAAGCCCAGCGAATCTTAAAGCACTATACAAATGCTAATTATATTATTCTCCTTTTTAGGTCTCAATTTCCTCATCTGTAAAACCACAAATTTGGTTTAGATGATTTCTAAGGGTCATTTTTGACATTCTACAAAGAAGTCACAGATCAATGAAACAAACAACTTGTTCTTAGCTTGCTTTGTTCACAAAGATTTAACTAGCCACTTTTATGGGGAGTGGGTTTGGGCAGTAATACAAAGCAGTTCGGGCTTTGTATTAAACACCAGCTCCATGGATTTCAGCACTGCTAGAAGCACTGACCTCTTCTTTCAGCACAATGCAGTGCTCAGAAGGAGCAGTCCTTGGCCTAAAATCTGGGCATAAGACCCCAGCAATTCCCTGGCTGAAACACCAGTTCCAGTTACATGGTAGGGATGAATAGTTGGGTCATGTTGACATCACTGAATTATTTTGTACTTGAACTTAAACTCCCATCTCATCAAAGTTTTCTCTCAACTCAACAGAGGGCTCTACCCTGTGCCAGGCACGCCCTCAGAGCTGGCAGAGGCCCTGCTTTGTGAATTCTTGCTTTATGGCTCTCTGATCACACAAATGCTTCTGAAAGCCAATCTGTAGGTGTACAGAATTCCTATTCACACTACCCATGTGCAGTATGTAGCCCAGCAGGCGCAGGGAGGAAAAGTCAAAATAGTTAATTCTCCAATTTCAGGAAAAGTGTGAATCAGAAAATGTTTAGAAAGAGGACAGCTCCTCCCAGGCCAGTTATGTGGAGGAGGGTTGGGGGTGGGGTTATTGATCATTTTTTGCATGGGAAAACTAGTAGTGAAGGGTTAGATTGATGTAAGCATCAAAGCAAACATCTCAAACCAAACAGAACACATACACAGAAATATTATATATAATTGTTAATTATATATTTCAATACTTTAAGGGATTTGTGTCTCATCTTTGTGGGTGTCCCTTCAAGGGTGCAGCTGGTAACCAAGGCATCCTTGCCTCCCCATCTTCTGCAACTCTTGCGTCCATGCCTTTCAGAAATCAGGTCCACTTTGGGAACTGGGGCGGGGGAGGGGAGAAGAGACAAGGAAAAAAAGAGACCTTCCTCTTGTTCTCTTGACATGTTGAGAATACTAATGGAAACAAAGAAAATTAGATGGCTGAGAGCTGCATCCTTGGAGGGACCACGCACACATCCCTCAAAGGAGGGATCTGCAGAGCTGCAGGTTTGGGTTTAGCTGCCACTCAAAAACTCCCCTTAGCAACGGTACCTTTCATGGCAGTTTATAGTCTTAGAGAATTTCCTGGGGACACGGAGAGGAAGGAACCATTTATTAAGCGCTCCGTATGTGCCAGGCACTGTGGGTAGAGGGGAGGTGACTTGCCCAGTGACACTCTGCTACTATGTGTCAGGGGAGGTATTTGAACTCAAGCCGTTCTGGCTCAAAAAGCAGATCGCCATCCGCTGTAACACTCTGCCTCTCGCTATTTCCCTGGCTGATAACAATGACTCCTTCAGATGACTGTATAGTGAGCTTTCAAAGCACTTTCATATGCCCTGATACTCACGAACTCTGTGACATTGGCAGGGGTAGCTATTCGGACTCAGCCCGCTCACCTGCAGTGCCAGACAGCGGGCGTCGCTGCTCTGGAGGGCGGCTCTCATGTCCTCCACCAGCTCCCGAAGGCTGGCATTCTCCTCCTCCAGCTTGGCAACCCGGTCCTCCGCCTGCTCCAGGGCCACTACCTCCTCGTAGCACTCCCGCGAGCAGCCCGCAGAGCCGGTGCAGGCGACTGCTGTGGCGGGAGGGGAGCTCCTTGTGCGCCCGGACGCAGGCGGGACAGCAGACGCCCCGGGCCGCTCCCGGCGCCGGCGCAGGGGACTGCGCAGCCGGATCTGGGTCTCGATGTGCTCACTCTCGGGCCCCACCGGCAGCCGGCTCCCCTCGGGACCTTCCCGTGCCCCGGCTCGGGTGCTGAAGTAGCCACAGAGGCGGGCGTGGAATTGGCGGAAGGTGAGCTCCGGGGCCAGGTCGTCCCAGAGCGCGGCGCGCTCCTCTTCGTCTTCCTCTTCCTCACTGCATCCCTCTTCAGCGCCTAGACCAGTCCCAGGCCGTAGCCCCAGCACCCTGCACAGCACGCGAAAGTCCTCCCCGGGCAGGCGGCCGTCTCCTTTGCAGTCCAGGTGGTGGAAGACCTCCTGCAGGTACTGGTCTAGCCCGGTGGCCAGCACCACGATCTCGTTTTCCACGCCTCGGTCTAGCCGGTAGTGATGGGCCAGAGCGCTGACCAGCCACTGCGTACGGCGAGCCGGGCGGCGGTAAGGGTCCCAGGCGTCCACGGGCCCCGGCTCCATCGCTCCTCCTGCCGTCTGGAGCCTGCCTTCTCCAGACCCTCTTCCCTGCTTCTCCTGCTACCCAGGACTCCGACCTGGCTCCCTTCTGCTGCCCAGCATCGTTCTAAGTGGGGAGGGAGCCTGCCCCCCCAATTACCCGGGCTGCAGCCCGGCCGGCCGCGAACTGGAGAGAACCCGAGGGACAGGAAACTCCGGGAGGCGCCGTCGTCCTTTCGGCCCGGGCAGGGAGGGACGAGGAGGCAGATAGCTGATAGACCGGCTGCGGAACCCCAGGGCTGGAGGAACGTCATCCCAGGGAGGGGCTGCCCGCCCACTCCCCTCCCGCCGCCATCCTCTCCAGGTCCCTGCGGCGCTCTGAGCCACCAGCCCCCGCTGTCCGGTCCTAGAGTCCTAGGGGTCTCAGGCGGCCAGCTGCCCTCCAGTGGGGCGTGCTATGCTGCGCCCCTTGGCCCCTTTCCCCGTAACTACTGCGCTCTCGAAGCTATGTTAGGACCCTGGGACCGGCCTCAGAGCAGGCCCCTCCTGCCACTGGACAGGTGGGGATGGAGCTCTGAACCGGGGAGCGGAGGTTTATGCCCTTTTAATTTATGTACGCCTTTTAATTTGGCCTCAATTGTGGGCATCTCCGGGGGCGAGAAGACTTACCCAGGAGAACACCCTCGCGTGCTTTCTCTTCATTAGCGGTTTGCTCGTGACACTGTAAGGAGAATTCATCGAGAACTTTTGTCGAGTTTCAGACAACTGAGTCTCCCTCGGTAGGGGCAGCGTCCACGGAATGGGATTCGACTTCCACTCTGTACTCTGGAGTTTGCCAGACCTGTGAGCAGGTCATTTCACCTCCGTTTCCTTGTTTGAAACGGTCTACACCTGCCACACATAGCTGCTGCTTTGTAAACTCTGAAACAGTGAGCTATTGGGATTACCGCTTAGATTTAGAGTTGAGAAGGACCTGAGAAGTCCTCCTGCTTAACCTCCTCGTTTCTAACAGAACAGGAAATTGAAGCCCGGAGAATTAAAGTGATTTGCCCAGGATCACAAGGTAGTAAAGAGAAGAGGCAAGATTCAAACTCAGGACCTCTGATTCCAAATGCAGAGCTCTTTTGCCTCCGTCACAACGTTTCTCTGTTGTTAGCATAAAGCCTACTCCCGACTAATTCGGATACACACTAAATTATCTGCTGGTGATGATAAAATTTAGCCTTGTGGAGGGGGCGGGAGGATGCTGTTTTGTCCCGTGTTTTGCTCCCCTCCTCCCTTCTCCTCAGCTGCCCTCCAGAAAAGGGAAAGTAAAAGTGTTGCCTAGCAAAGTATTAGGAGGAGGAGAGGACGCTGCCATTTCCCTTTGAACAAAAACAATGCTCATTTTAGCCAAATAGACACATCCACAGAAATGAATTGTAGAGAGAATTCAAAGAAGTAGCTAATCTTTTCTAAATAAACTGTGTGATTTGGGATTGGAATTTGGGGTTATCGTGGACATTTGCAAGCTAGTCAGTCTGACCTTGTTCAAGTGATTCTGAGACTCTTTTTTAATCTGCAAGATGCCCATAAAAATCTCCCAACGCTCCTGTGCAGGACACTGCTGCTAGGTACTGAGGGGGATGCTAGGTACTGAGGGGGATGCTAGGTACTGAGGGGGATGCAAACTCCACAAACCTGGCTGCCGTGAGAGACAGATGAGTCTCTAGGCAAGCTGCTTGCCATCTCTAAGCTGTTGTTTCCATATGTCTAAAATGAGGGGAAAGAGGGAGTGTGGTGTGGTGAGCAGAGGGCCACCCTTGGTGTCAGCTAGCAAGCATTTGTTATTAGTAAAAAGATTTTATTTTTTCAATGAACAAAAATAATATTTTCTCTCCCTCTAATCTCCTCCCTCCCCCAATTTGGGGAGGGGGGAACCCCTTTTAACTAAAATATGTAGTCAGGCCAGACAAATTCTCACATTGGTCATATCCCAAAATCCCAAAATCTCATTCTGCATCTTGAGTCCATTCCCCCTGTCAAGAGGCAGATAGCAGTGTGCTCCTTGTGTCATTGTGTTGAACATAGTTCTTAAGTAACAATTTCTTATTAAGCAGTGTGTGTGTGTGTGTGTGTGTGTGTGTGTGTGTGACACACACACACACAGAGACAGAGACAGACAGATGGAGACAGAAAAAGGAAAAAGAGAAAGAGAGGAAAAAGAGAGAAGGACAGAGACAGAGAGGAGAGGGAAAGATAAAGGGAGAGAAGAAGGAGAGAGAGTGAGACAGAGAGAGGAGAGGGAGAAAGAGAGGAGGGAGACAAAGAGAGGAGAGAGACAGAGAGAGACTGACAGAGAGAGAGAGAGAGGAAAAAGAGACAGAGAGAAACAGAGAGAGACAGAGAGGAAAGGGAGAGAGAAAAGGGAGGGAAGGAGAGAGACAGAGTGAGACAGAGGAGAGGGAGAGAAAGAATGAGAGAGAGAAGAGAGAGACAAAGAAAGGAGGGAGACAGAATGAGACAGAGAGGAGAGAGAGAGAAGGGAGAGAGACACAAAGAGTCAGAGACAAAGACAGAGACAGAGAGGGAGAAGGGTATAAAGGTTTATAAAGAAAAACAAAAATAGTCCCCACCCTCAAGGACCTTGCATTCCAATGGAAAGACAACATGTAAAGAAACAGGTACATGTGAGATATGTAGAGTAGAAGAGATGGTAAGTAATTGGATTGGAGGAGAAGGCTCAAAAAGCCCTGAGTTCAGGATCTGCCTTAGACCAGCTCAGTGGCCAGGGCAAGATTCCTTAACCTCTTAAGGCCCAGATCTCAGTTTCTAGTTAGGGACAGTTACCTGCAGAGCAGAAACCACAGGAACCACCAGACTTCATCCCACAAATGGGAATCATTCTGGCCCAGTCTGCTTTACAGGGTTGCTTTTGTAAGTCAAATGTAAAGTACTTTGTCACCAAAAGCAGTATGTAAATGTAAACCTTATTATTATTGTTGTTATTTTGGTTAGGAAACATGAGATCAGATACATGAACACATCTGGAAAACTACCAAGTGCTATGCAAATTTGATTTGTAAAAAAATAATAGAATACTATATAATCCTTTCTTTTTTTTGGTAGAAGCAAGTAGAAGCAAGGGGGAAGAAATCATATTGTTAATATTTTATAGAATTACATTAACCTTTGAACCAGCAATGGGGTTGCAGCAATTTTTTTAAAATGGGATTATATATTTGTAATATTTTGATAGCTAGCAAGACATTGTATAGCCATTTGAATGCTGCTAGCATAATTCACGGGACAGCTGGGTGGTGAAATGGATGGAGTGCAGGCCCTGGAGTCAGGAAGACTCATCTTCCCGAGTTCAAATCCAGCCTCAGACGCTTACAGGCTGTGTGATTCTGGGCAAGTCACTTAACCCTGTTTGCCTCAGTTTCCTCAGCTGTAAAATGATATAGAGAAGGAAATGGCAAACCACTCCAGTAGCTTTGCCAAGAAAACCCTAAATGGGGTCAGGAAGAGTCAGTCACAACTGAAACAAATGAATAACAAAACAAACCATAATAATGAGAAGTATCCTAGCAGAGAGATATGGCCTTGAAGCCTGGAAAGCCTGGGTTCATGTCTGCTCTTCGACTCATTCCAGCTGTGTGACCCTGGGCAAATAAATCACTTATCCTTTCTCTCAATGTCCTAGGCAACTCTCTTAGACTCTAAGTTGTAAGAGAAGATGTTGACCTGCATAGATTGAAGGTTCTCTGTACAAAGTAGTCTAGTCCTTATCTTAATCTGTTTAAATGTCACATGAAGAACTTGAATTTATAAGATAGGAGATTTTATCCATGGGGCAAGGGAGGTGGGCTGGGAGTTTTCTTCCCTCAGGTCAACTTCCTCATTCCTTAGTGGACTATGAAATGAGTTGCGAAGTCCAAGAAAGTTCTTTGCCTGTTGGCCAACCTGGTGGTGATGAGCTTGTGTTAATTTATTTAGGTTGGCCCTGGTAAGATAGTCACCAGGACTTCCCTACTCAAGACCTTCCCAGATTGGTAGGACTTCCTAAAAGTATGTGATCCGTGATCATAAGCTTCCAGAACCCAGTTCTCTCTCTTCCATTAGGCATTGGGTGAGGATTTTAGTGAGGGCTTGTAGAAGTTCTCCGATCAATTTGAAGTATTTATAATCAATCTTATTGACCGCTGGATTCAGAGCTGGTAGGGATCTTGGGGAACATTTAGCTCAATCCCTTCATTTTAAATTTCTATTGATATTTACAAGCATGAAAAATTGTTGTTCAGTTGTTTTTTCAGTCGTGTCTGACACTCTGTGACCTCATTTGGGGTTTTCTTGGCAAAGATACTGGAGTGGTTTGCCATTTCCTTCTCCAGCTCATTTTACAGATGAGGAAAGTGAGGCAAACAGGGTGAAGTGACTTGCCCAGGGTCACACAGCTATTAGTCTGAAAAATACCTATCATTTAATCACAGCCATGACTAAAACACCGTGATAGGGGCATTGCCCCAGTCCCAGGTCATTGAAATTTAGAATGCCAGTGGTGCCATCCTGTGTGTATTTCTTCCCCCAAGAAGTTACACATCCCAGATGAGTCCATTCCTTTGAAGCTCCGTTTTTTTTTTTTACTTCATCCTAGAGTATGCCTCCTTCCCCTAGTCACTGTATTCCAGGTCCCCAGTACTTACCTCCATTCCAGTAGCAGCTTTAGAAATTTAAAGGTATCTCAAAGTATAGTTCTTTCCTTATATTTTATGCACTCCAGATAAGATATCCTCCTTGTATTCTGACCCCTTCCCATACCTCCTAGTTCCAGCTCTGCCTTTAATGTTCAACCTATGAATAATGAAATTTATTTGGTTTAATGACTGAGACAGCTAGAAAATGGACTAAACTGACCTCATCAAAAATGCAACATCATAATCACCCATAGGTTATACAATATCTGGGGATATTGGGATACAATTGGGATACAATAGCTGGGAATTCATTGTGTTTCAGGTGTACTTGACCTGACTCAATAAACTAATTCCAAAAAGCAACTTTCAGAGACCCATTAATATTTAAAATGTAGTCTTTTAACCTCTTTTTTTCCCCCCTAAAATAAACAAATCTACAATTCTACTTTTTAGCTGGGAACACATTGGCATTGATGGCAGGGTTTAGAATAGAATCCTTCCAGACCTTTCTGTTTGTGACAGTGTTACCAGGAGTCTTGTAAAGAAATTTCAGTCGAGTCCACAAGGTTTTTGTCTAAGGTTCAAAGTAAGTAAATTCAATGGTTCTGCTACTTTCTTTTGTATTTGATTGGGGGATGGGTGTATGTG